TCTTTTAGGCTTTGTAAAGTTATGTATCCTTACCAGTGCATAATTTTACAAGTACAGGTACATCTCTAAAAAAAAAGAGTTACTGTATACCTGAGAAGGGATTTATGCTTTAGTTCCTGTTTACTACATCATCACTGTGTGTCTTTACTGAGGGGAGACAGTTACAACTTCAATTATGTTTTTTACCCTTTTTCCATTTTCCAAGAATATGCATAGTTCCAGAGTCAAGCTTACAATGTTTATGTAAGTCTGCCTGTGTGTACATAGTTTTTCAGTAGACAACAAGTCTACCCATATTTAGAGGAAATTAGTAGCATAAGACAATGTCAGGTCAGACCAGAGATTCATTAGATCCACAATTTTGTTTCCAGCATTGGCCGGTCTAATGTGTCTTAAGAAGCTCAATAAAGAGGGCCCAAAAAGTGATGTATTATGGAAGAGAATACTTAGCTCAGGGATGAACTGTGGATCCTTGGTGCTATCTGAGCTTGGTTGTTTTTCTTGTATTTCCCTGCACTTCATTGATCTTTGATAATGAAACATCTGCAAGAAAACAACCAAGGTTAGAGAGCATCAAGGACCACAATGATATACAGTACTTATCACTTCCCCCTTCTGCTTGATCTTAGCATCTGTGATTCAGAGGAATACTGCTTCTACAGTAGAAGTCCTATTTGAAACATAATTGGCAGTACAACTGGGGCATTATTGTAAGATCCATCTTATCCAATTTTATACATTACGAAGGCAAAACAGGATCTTTTGAAAGACTATCGGTCAGAATGAAAATTCCTACTATGGGTGCCCCAAAAGTTTATCATCTCTCAATATTGTTCCAGCTAGCAGAAGAGCTAAGGCCCAGTCACTTTCCGATCACCATCTGAATAGTACAAATAGGCCAGCATAGCAACTTTTGTCAGTAAATTACACAACAAATCCAGGGGAAGGGCCACTTAATATAAAAAGAGGCTGCACTGTGGAAGAATAGGCCCTTGTGCTCCCCCCCCCCCACCATTTGTTTCTTTCCATCATCAGCATATCTGAGTTGCCAACAATATAACCTTGATGCTTGATATTAACAGAACATGAAGAGACCCCAATTCTGTGTCCCCTGGGCAACAGTGATGTCACCAGCTAATTCTTTCACCCCCAGAAGCGCCTCGGTGCTTCCAACATGGAAGTAGTATCTTGACACTATAGGGTAAAAGTGACACATTGGTTTTGAAACTCTGCAGCCACTAGCAATAAAACGCTTTCAGTGTAGTGTGTTTTTTAAGTATGTGGCATAATAAATCTTTATGGTAGCAAAAGTTTCTTGGTTATTTTGGTTCCAACAGATTAAGATGTCAACCAGCTTTAGAAAACAATTTCAAGAAATTCCAATAATGTGGACCCACAAACCCAATTATAGCTGGTAAATTCCTGTAGGGTCTTATTTTGCTCTGGCGTGTGCAATAAAATCAGGATCCAGGAAAACCTGATACCAGAATATAAAACTGGTTTAACATTGTGCTAAGCCACCCTTTTATTTGATTGTTTTAGCACAAGACCCACATGCAGGAATTTTGGTCCTGCATATGGTTCCTAAAACCTTGCTGGATCACACTGTCACAATTAGATAACAAGCTCTTCAGTTTTTGACATTGCCATTTTTTTTTCAGTTAAAGGTAAACAATAGAAAGGCTTTACAAGGATTCACATCCCCTGCTTCATATACCCATCTCCCCAGCTACACTACAGTCTACTTTTTGGTAAGCAATAATATACAGGGTGAAAACAGAAATAATAAATAGTAAGCTAAAAATGTAAAGGCACAAGATAAAAAGAAAAGGAAATAAAACTAAATCTAGCTTACACTAGCACCATTGAGGACATTTCTCCATATCCTTCCATTGTGATAAATCATCTTTGCTTCTATTATGCTCATGCATCACTTCATACATTTTTTCATTATAGTTTTCATTTCCTACCCTTGAGGCTCTCTTCAAGCACATCTTTCTTAGTCTTTGCCTCAATCCATTTCTTTGAACAAAAGTTTTTGTTTTACAATCTAATCCTCATTCGTTCTCTCTATACTGCATAACCAAATGATATTCCCATGCTCATTTCATATTGATAATAGATTTCTGTATTCAGTCCAAATTCATTTTGTATCTTCCTGTTTTATCACCCAGTTCTTAAATATCCTATAGCCATTGCATCCAATATATTTGTTCAATTTCTCCTGACAAACAATTCCCACTTTATTAAAAAAAATGGGCATAGTGTACTTACATATAGCTGTTGTGCCTCCAGGCTTGGATTCAGCTCCTGTGATTGATATGAGTTCAAGTGAAGAGGTTATGTCAGAACAATATGAACCAGCCTGGCTTACTGATTGGACTGATAACCAGGATGAGGAGATGGACGTGACAAAGGACGACAGACCTGATGTATTAGAATTGTCAGGACCTTTGACCTCCTCTGGTTCCTTATCTGATCAACAGCCAGGAATGGCTGACAGGGAAGTTTTGAGAGAGTCTTCTAGTGGAGATGAGAACTTGGAAAATTTGTGGTTAAATGTAAAAAATAGAAGACGGTTGAAAAGGCAAAATCAGCTGGAGCAAATGAGAAAGGCAAGTCAGTAAATTAGCACGTTGCCTTAATGAGTATAAAAGGACACAGCTGGGCTGGTACATTTCGCCAGGAACAAAATGACTATTTGAGTGAGGACGTTACAGCAAAGAGCTCTGAGGCTGAGGATTTATTGCCAGGACTGGTTTGCCGGACAGAGTAAAGATTTATGCTGTGGTTTCTGCCAGCCGTTATCTTGTAAGACTTCTTTCCGTTTGATTTAATTGTGAAACGGCTGCTTTCTGTTTTGTTCGTTTGAATTTCGAAGGGGAGTCATAACATATAGCCATGTTTGTTTCTTTTGACACTCATCCAGTACAATATACTACACATCACCCACTAAATTTCTACTAGCATCTGCTTGCTTTTGCTTCCATTTTCTCATCTTTAGCAACTGCTCTACAAAGAGTGCCAATTCATTTTTTTTTCTTTTTTGGCTTTTATGGGTTGTCTTGCAATACATTAATTTGCTCCACTTTCTTTGTCAAACACATCTACCTGGATCGTTGGTATATTAATTCTCAGATTCATGCTTTTCATTGCATCATGCAGTCTAACATTCATTGCAAGTCTTTTGGCCAACCACAAAACATCACTGGCACCCTAAGTGTGCTGTCCCAGCCAGTCTATGGGAATTGGATAGTTACTTAGGAATTATGAGCTGTCCCCTTAAGGGAATGCATCATGGTAAATGTAGTTAAAGGTATCCTGGGAAATGTAGTTCATGTCATGTGGCCACATCTGTAATCCTGATTGATCACTTTGAGTTTATCTATCTGCATCTGCACAATTTACAAATCCACTACTGTGCAGAATACAGAACACTAAGTACAGTCTGTAAATGACTTGGAGAGGGCTGTAAAGCATTGTGAAGTGGTATATAAGTCTAAATGCTATTGCTACCAGAGCTCCTTAGATTTTTACCCCCAAAATACTTAAAAATACATTAAGGAAAGAGCACACACCTTGCCTTACTTATTAAATGCTAAACCATTCATTACACATTCAATTTCTTTACTTCCATCACATATTACTCTTACTTCATTCAGCAACCAAATTTCAAAATGTTTGGTAATTCAAGGCCACTCAGTTTGAGTACTTTCTCTCTAAATCAACAAATGTAAAATAAATATATAATTGCACAATTTTGAAAGTGTAATAATGCGTCATTTTGACATCACCGTGGCTTGTTACAGGTGCCTATATTAATCGTGTTAGTTTATATTCAACCAGAGATGGACAAATGGCCCTGCAAGTAGAAATTACCTTTTTTTTTCATTCCTCCCCACAACTTTGGGGTAAAAGGGCAAGTGTTTATAAGAGAAGAGAAATCTAGTTTTATCATTTAACCATGACGGAAAAGAACCACTTTGTTTTCAGACTCAGGATCTGCTCCCTGAAGCATATGTGAAGTCTTCAAGCAACTCACAATGCAAATATAACATAATTACTACCCACCTCAACAGACCCAGCACTGCTATAATTCAGGGTTTAAGCTACTGCATTATAAATGACACAAGAGTTCACACATCATGACACCCTTTAATTGGGTTTGTTTCATTCCGATGTAGATAATGCATAAATGCAGCGACTGTAATTTGCAATCGACAGCATATAACACAGCATTTCAAATCAGTCCAATCACCTATGGTTTTTAACACACTGTAGTTGCTATACTGAATCCATTTTGCATAGTACACTAAATAATCAGCTAACCAATAGGGCCGAGTTCTCATGATAAAAGCCACAAAAGGTTAAAACGGATTGCGTTATGCAGCAATTGTAATTTGCAATTGTCCGAATGCAACCATTAGTGTTAACGATTGTGGTTAATAGGGTTATGTTAACACAGCAACAGAAAACCTTACAAAACCCCACAAAACAATCTTTATTAAAAAAAAATTGATAACAGGACGGTGCTAGGCGGCACTAAATCTTCTAGTGTCCCATTGAGCTGCTGCCAATAAAAGTCCCGAACTACGCAATTTCTGCAGACATTCGATTCAGACGTTTTGGATTCCGAACCCACCCTATAAAGCGCTCCCATTGGTGGACAGGTGGGGTGACGTAGAAAACAGAATTCATCAGGCAGATAAACGCTGCGTTTGACGTACTTTTTCCCGTATTGGCCTTTGCCCCACCTACCAGCTCCTGAATTGGCCAAGCTCCCCGTCTGTCTGTAGACCACGCTCTCCTGCCCTCACCTCCCCACTCTTACCGGAAACGAAACTACAGTGACCGCTTTGCACATGCGCACATAGCCATTCCACGCATTGGGTCACACCGTCTCTCATTAGCACACTGCCTTTATCTCTGTTTTCGCCTTCTTGCTAGTGGCTTGCACGCCACGTCCATCAAGAGCGCACCAATAGCTGACTACGCCCCGCCTTTTGGCTGGCCAGGAAGAATTTTCCAATGGGCTTCCTTTCTGGGTTACCGGCTGATTTTTGCTTCAGGCGGTCGGGTATCTTAAGATGGCAGAGGTCGCGGGGAAACGAGTCGCTGTCGGCTTTTAAAGACGCTGCCTATGGCCCTGGCAAGATCGCAGCGCCAGTCAAGGGCCTCCTCGGTCCTCGCCTCAGATCTCCTCTGGCCGTCCTTTGGAGCCGGTCTTAGGCCCAAAGCAGCGCTGCCTACCCTTGCCTTTCGTGGACGATCAGGTCCTGGCCAGGGTAACGGCCAGGAGGGAGAAGGCGGGGGAAACGTTTGGCGCCGTGATCGCCCGAAGGACCTGTACGAATTGCTGGGAGTGCAAAGCAACGCTACTCAGGCCCAAATTAAGACCGCTTACTACAGAAAGTCCTTTCTCTATCACCCGGATCGCAATGCGGGCAGCGTGGAGGCAGCCGATCTCTTCATCCACATAACTCAGGCCTACCAGGTGTTGGGCAGCCTCAGTCTGCGCAAGAAGTACGACCGTGGCCTCCTCACCCAGAAGGACATTTCCAACGCCAAGAAGCCCCCCGGCAAAAGTAAAGCCGCAGCCGCAGCCCAGACAGTGTCCAAGAAGAAGCCGGTTTACACCTCTGGCTACCCTTCAGGCAAGCCCATCTTCAACTTCGATGAATTTTACCGAGCCCATTATGGCGAGCAGTTGGAACGGGAGCGCCTGATGAGGCTAAAGCAGCAGGAATTGCAGAAACAGAGAGAGAACCAGCAGGATGAGCAGTACAAATTCCTGGAAAATTTTCTCTTTGTGCTGTTTTTATCAGGCGCTGTGATCCTACTCAGATACCAGTGAAGAGACGAGAGAAGAAAGTGGTGCTAACCTTGTATGCTGATCTCCTCTTGGGGAAACTTTGGGAGCCGGCAAAGCAGAAAAGGCATTTGTGTGCCAAGGCATTTGTGGACTTTCTGCTGCAGGGCACTCAACAGATTTTGGGTTACATGAGCAGTCTCTTGGAGAACCTTCATCTAGTGCCCGGAGGACTTTACAGTTTTAGAAAGATTTGAAGCAGGCATAGTTTTATGTAGTTAATTGTCCATGCTTAATAACATAGGTCCTAGGGAGAAGGAGTGTTTGCCCATGCAAAATATTATCACCATATGCCACTCCTATAGCATTAAATTCTTCCTCTGAGTCAAGAGTGGAAGGATTTGAGGTGATTTTTCCTTTCTTTTCGCATGGGTTGAAATGTTTCTGGTTTGGCACAGGCATATTTATACTGTTGTTGATACTTCTGGATTTGGGCCCAAGGCTGCTGCAGAATGTAAAAGTACAGGAAAAAATCTGAATGTTATGAACAAATGTTTTTGTTAAGCATTCAAATAGAGGGACAGTTTGACTTCTGGTACTGAGAGCCAATCATGTCTTTATCCTAAATATAATTTAATTGGATAAACAGTTTGACCATTCTGGGCTTTTTTTGCAGATTGTATTGTACAGCTGTACTGTGGTTTCCTTATGTCTCCAAAACGTTCAAGCCACACACAAACAATTTATACACACACACTTTGTTTTAAAACTTCAGAAGCATAAAGATTTATGATATACGTTACTGAGCTACTTTTAACTATGACATCGTTTACATTAACATTGGGGATGACTTACAATAGTGCCAAAATGTGCTTTTTAATTGGAGGTTGTGCTGTCTGCAGTCATCTTCCCAGGGCTTCCCCCCACCCACCCCAAAAACCAGCATTTACATGATATTTTAAACTAATTTATCATGTTTCTTAACTGACCCAACCAAACAATTGGGTAACTGAATTATCCCATTTTCACACTGTGTATTAAATTATTAACAAATCAATGGGATTGCATAATAGAATCCCAGAAACCAACATAAACACAAGCTACATTTAGTATATTGTACAAATACATCTATTTTTTTCTAAATATGTCTTCTCTTGCAGCCTTAGTCCTTCATAGGTGTAAACCCCATTTTTCTTTTTCCCTTTCTGTATGATTTTCATTTTAAGTCTCCCTAAATTGTCTGCTGTCTGCTCCTAGTCTGGATGACAGCGAAAGAGTTCCTGCCCTTTCAATTTTTAGCCAATAACCCCTCCCCTATAGCAATTCTCCTTTGTTTTCAAAAACTGGAATGTTGTTCCTAAACAGTACTATAGAGGGAGTCCTAGTACTGTACTGATCTACAACTGCTAGTGAAATCATTTAAGATTCATAAGCTAGAGTGCTTTGTTCTTGAACTAGCTGGATTTAAGAAGAATGAATCCCCATATATGGATAGCAAGAGGAAATAAGTTTCTTGTGATTGATGAGTGTCATAAAAGCAGCCATCAATCTGAAGCTAGAAAATGAGTTCTGTTCTATTGGATATGAAGAACCACCACACCAGGAGGGAGATTTTATATACACACACACACACACACACACACACACACACACACACACAATATATATATATATATTCTTTGTATTTTGTAATTAGCTTAATTTATTTGAACTGCCTTTAGATTGTTGCTCTGCAGGTAGATTTCTATTAGATGCCATTTCAGATGGTTGTTCCTGTTCATCCCAGGATGTTTTAAGGATCGCTCCAAATAAAGTTCCTTGGAAGATACAGAAGCCAGTTTAGACGTTGTAATAGCTGATGTAATAGTAGACAAAAAAAGGCACTCTGAGGTATTATTGCACAAGAGTATATGATAAATCATAAATCAGCGAATAGCATTTTGACTTGTCATATAACCAGCCTTCTACATTTAGGGGCACTTTTCTAAAAGTGTGCACGCATCAAAACTGAGCACCAAGCCCTGTGTTGAATTAAGCATGGCCACAGAGAATATAAGATGCCCATAATGAAAGCTTCCTAGTTTTTTTAGTGCTGCCACCCCCCACCCCCCGCCAAGATAATATTATTTCATCTGAGACCTTCTGTAAGATTTCCTGCAGTATGACAGTATGCTGAAATATACCTGCTAGGATCGCCTAGGCATTCTGTGGAACATTTCAAGGAATTCTACACCCCCCCCTCCCAATCTTGCATTGTGTGGCTTAGGTTCAGGTGGAACTGCATGGTGGTCGCTAGGGCTTTCTGGAGAAGCTTGCAGAATCTCTGTTGCCTTGCCTTCACAAGCGTATCTGGATGCTGCTGTTGCCAAGGCAACGGGTGGCCCATCAGCAAGTTGGAGAGCCTGGCTGGCCCTCTCCACCAATAGCAGAGCCTGACTGGCATCCCAGAGACAGCGGCTCCTGCCTGTAACCAAGGGCTACCCATTGGCAAATGGGAAGCAGATCTTTCTTTCTCTTGCTCAGCCTAAGCAGATAGAGGGCTAAGATGACTCCCCTCCCCTTCTCTCCATCAGCAGTTTCTGAGCAGCCAGTACATGAGCAAAATAACCTGTCCCTTGAGATTTCTGTGAGGATGGGGATCCAGCCAACTTTACCAGCTACAATTTGAACAAGCTATGCTTGATTTCTAACGTGGGAGAGCCCAGGAACTCAAAGCAAGGCTGAACTTTGGTTCTATTCTTCATTTGAATGGACTTGTGGGAACAGCCTGAATTAAAAGACTGAAGTTTACATCTGGTGTGCTATCAAGGGTTTCACAACAGAGACGTTGTGATCTGTGAGATACCCTGGTGTCACTTTGAACCTGGAGGTATGTGTTGGTGCAAGCCATTCTTACCATGACATCACATGCCAAGAATGAACAATGCACCTGTCATATACCTAGCATAGTCCATGAACCCACCCTCAACATCTCCAGTTCTTTGAAATCTGCCCCTTATGAAATGGACACTGAAACATGTATTCTATGTGGTTCAAAACACACTAATTTCTTGAATTCAGATGTGTGACATTTGTGCCAAATGGCCAAAAGAAAGCAACTATCTCAACTCCAAATGAGTAAATTTGTTAAGACCTGATATGAAACCTTAGAATTTGGCTATGGAGTGGGATGAGGTCATGGGGAGGGGCATCTTTTACATCAATTGTCTCTAGCCTGGGCAACTTTCAGTTGTGCTGATTGGCAACCAATTTACTTGGTATCACTGGTGTAAGTTCTTACTGTGTGAGAAATACAGTTTGCTGCCACTACCCTCAAAATGACAACCACAACTATGCTGAGTCGTTATGTTCTTTGTTATAAATTATTGGTAGTAGAGTATCTTAGACATAGGAGTGGGGGTATTAACTATTGTGTGTCATTTTCTCAGAACTGATTGTTTACAAACAAAATTTAATAATACTGCATGAATAATTTACTAAATTTAAACTCTGGGCAGCTTACAAAATTAAAAAAAAACAATAAAAACAAGCACATAAATAGACGATCTGGACTAAAACCACCAGAATAATAAATACAATACTAATTTGTGGCCCCACCCATACATCAATGAACACAGGAAGAGAGTCAGGTCTTAAGGGTTTTCTGGAAAGCCAGGGAAGTGGGCACCTTTCCTATCTCTGGAGGTTGCTATTCTAAAGTGGGGGCGGTAACAGAGAAAGCACACTTCCTTGGCCCCAGAAGTTTCATGGTTTAAGAGTAGGCACTTACTCTGTATACCAGGTGGTCAGAAACAATTGGAGGAAAACCTTGGATAACCAGGCCATATACATCATTATCATGTATATACAGATAATAAGAATGTGCAAACTATTATAATTTAAGAATGATAATTTCTGCCTAAAATGAGAAATCTGCGTTGATTTCTTGTGTTATCTGTTTTTTCCTCCCTTGGCTAGCTATGGTATTCTCAGCAGTCTTTTCCAACACCAAAGTTTAAAAACTTCAACACATTTTCTATTGTATTGCTTCAAAGTCCAACTTTCATACCGGTATTTGTAGGAAAGGAAGGAAAGCCACTGACTGAACCATTCTGATCTTTACAGACAGAGAGAGGACCAAAGTATGTAAATATTTTTTCCCCATCGCCTTCACTGCTATCCTAACAGGTGCTAGTTTTTGATGTTCTTTTGTGTTGATAGATGATCCTAAGAGCTTCCGTTTGATGTCTTCATTGTCAGTTTGAAGGCTATTTGCTTCACCTGTTGTCATTCTTTTGTTATTTCTTATATTTAAAACTTAGCCCCAATTCTTTTGGCTGCTCCTGGACTTTCATTACTTGAGTTTGCAGTTCCTTTGCATTTTCTGCTATCAGCACACGTTTGTTCCTACTGTTTTAAAACCAGATCTTCCAATCCAGCCTCCTTCAATATATATTCAGCGCAGAGATGGAATAAATAAGGAGAGAGTATGCAGCCCTGTCTCATTCCTCTGCTGACCTGAAGAAAATCTAATTCATCATGACCATGGCTTCCTGCCCTTTGTACAGATTTCACATGAAGAGCCAATGAGATGTTCTGGATTCCCCCAAACCTTCCACAGCTTGACATAATTGACGCAACTGAGGGTGGTTTTATAATTAATTAAACACACATTGATTTCTTGTTGATATTGTTTAGGTTTCCCAATTATTCAGCATGCATCAGCAATAATGTTTCTTGGTTTTGGTATTTTCTAAAACCAGACTGAACATGTACTATCCCCCTTTCCATGTAGAGTACTAATCTGTGTTGGATTAATTTAGCATTATTTTGCTAAACACTTTGCATACTCATATACTTTCCAGACTCCTTTCTTTGGTATTGGTATGTAAACTGAGTGTTTCCAAGTACTGTCATTGCTGTATTTTTCCTGACTATGAAATCAACATTGTTCTGTGATTTTTATGTCAGTGTTCAATTCACTCTATTTTAATTTGTTGGTGGCTAGCTCAAGTCATTTAATCTTTTGCTGTATTGAACTTTCCATATTCCCTTTGTAATTCTGTCTTTGCAGGTTTGGATTTTCCTTTTCTGCATGGCAACTCAGCAAGAGATCTGGAAGGCTTTAATCTATCTGTATCATAAACACCATTAGTACTCCAAAAGGCTTAGTACTCCCTTCCCTCCTTCTTTCCTTCCTTCCCTCCCTTTAAAAGTCACGAACAACAACAAAAGAAAAAAGTGCATGTCCTGAATAACACAGTATCACCATCTTCTTTTAATGACCCCATAATCCCTACTGGGGTGGAGTCTGGGCAACTGAACGGAGCTGAGTGTTTACTGGCTAGATGCCCTTCCTGTTGCCAATGTGGAGTTTTTTTCCCCAGCATATGTTCTCATTGTGCTCAGAGAGACATATCTGCCTCTACCTAGGATCAAACTTCTGACTGAGGCAAGAGCTCCATCTCTAGGCCACCACACCACTCCTGAATAACACAGTATAGCAACTCCCAACCAACGGGCCCATTATTATCATCATCTTAACCCTAAAACTAAAAGTAAAACCAGCTTGTCAGGAGAGAAATCTTCAGGAAGTTTGAAGGAATTGATATTTAACCAGGTTGTGAATTTGTTTCAAAGGTATTTTAATGAAAAACTCCATGAATCACCAATAGTAAAAGCGGGAAGCTCAGAATCCTTTTGGATGAGAGTGGTTTATAAGCCACAGTAAATGAATAAATAATAAAGCCTTCT